ACTTTGATAATTTTCCTTTTAAGCTTGTCGATGAAATTGTTAAACAATTGATCTTGGTTGGTGTATCATGGTTATGGTCTGACGCATTGTCTTTTTTGGTTTTTATGCATTCCTCTCATTCCCACAAATAAAACAAATAAAATAATAACTACCTGTACTTTTCATTAGGCCTACGCGCTTTTAAATGTTGCATATTCTCGGTATTTTAATTTCTTTTAGTTTATACATTTTTCTGTGAATAATACTGATTTTATTTATAGGAAATAAAACGAAGCTTTCATACGGTATAAGATTACTTTGAAGATTGGCTATGATTATAGCCAATCTTTCCATCATTGCTTTGAAGAATTAATTACTTTCCCTTCACATCAAAGTGGGATGAAAAAAAGTCAAGAGGAAACAAAAGTTAATTTTGTTACTAAAGTAAGTGTGACTTTGTTATCCGAAGAGGGTAACTTTAATGTTTGTCAAGAAACAGATTAGTGAATATGATGAGTAAAAACACGCATTAAAGTCGCAATTATGGGTATACAATGTTAATGAATCCATCTTAATTAAACTCACGAGATGCTTGTAGCAAATATGACCTTTTCTATTTGAGAGACGGGGATATTTATATTCACACAATTTTATTAGTTGTATGAGAAATATATATATATATATTCTGATAACGAAGATAGAATTACTTAACAGAAATCTATTTACTAATTAAGATTACTATCAATACTTTATCCCAAAAAACGTTAATAGTTAAATGTATGTCAATCATTTCGTCAACTTTGAAATTATTGTCAAACAAAAAGGTACATAATCGATAATCAATCATTTAGCTTAGGTAATCGCCATCAAAATGAAAATAATAGTTTGGTAAAAAAACGTGTTAATCGGTCATTGTACGTGGTTTGCAGCAACTCATCCGCTTGGCCCTTTAGTAATGTCTTCGTTGAAAAGTTCTTCGTGTACAACGTTCGCTACCTTGATTTTTCTCAATTTTATTATTAACTTGCTCTTAATATTTGTCCGCCGAAAAAAATACGTGTTTGAGATATTCGTTTCTAAGTGCACCGACGAGAAAAAAGAAAAAAATAATATGATTCGGTCCGGGGTTTGGAAATTAGAATCTCAGAATAAAAGTAGCGCAAAACTATATTTTGATACCATACAATTTTGAGACAATTACTTGCGACATCTACCTATTTTTCATAATATTCATATTTCATATCAAATGCTAAGTTAAACTTATATATATTTTAAATGCTAAGTTAAACTTATATTATATATATATATACACTACAGTTCCCTGTATGTATTTTATGTTCGCACGTAAGTTGGATCATTTTAAAATAATTTTGTTAAATTGCAGAATGTTATAATTTAGGTAGATGAATAAATCAATCGAGGCTTGAAGCCAAGCGTGTGCCAGCAAGAAGGGAGTGACAAAGACAATATTAATATAGTGAAAGATATGATGAATCACTCCAGCATATTTTTTATATTTTCAAATTTATTAATTAAAATTAACAACTAAATATTTTTTAAAACAGATTTTATGAAAAAGTTGTATATATAAAAACGAACAAACAAGTTAGCTTCGATGAAACCTGACGTATATTCTACAATTATTCGGTCGCCGGGTGACAAAAACAATCTAATTTTATCATTATCTTTTTCATTTTTGTTTGTCTCGTTGCTATTAATTTTGAGTTCATTACTTCATTACAAGATCTAAATTTTGTATGAATGTTTTTGGACATCTGTCTGTATTATGGAGTAGGTGTTAGGTATATTCTAATTTCGATTGACATTTGACGGAATGTTAAGTTCTTTATATAAAAATTCTTAAACAAAACAAAAGTAGGAGTTCTAATAAAATACACAAAACAACTTACATTTATTAGCTCGTAACTAAAATACATCTTTCAGAAAGAAAAAAACAATAAAGCCGTTAACTACCGGACGACGCAGTTCGATACTTCGATCACTGAACTACGCGTAATGTGCTGCCGTTTATTTTGTCGCCGACAAACTACGCGTCGTTTTATTTTCCAATTGTCTACAAAAGATAGGTGACCTATAATTACGTTATTCTGGTAGGTCCATTCGCAAAGATGAGGGGGGGGGGGAACTATTTGATTGCATAATAGAGTGGTCGGTTTGTATTGTGCATGTTTTTATTTATTCATATTTCAACTTCTCTAATAACTCGACGATGTATGATTACTTTAAAAGATATCATAGTTTTAGTTTCACCCACGAAATTTAAAGTAACATGTCAACTGATATATCGACCATCCCATTCCCACTACAAAGCCTATGGATAGACTTTTGGATCCTATAAATTATTCGTAAGTTCGCAACGTTCACAAACTTGGTGGTCGAAACTATACATACGTTTGTATTTTTGATACCCTATTTCGTTTTATTCCTTCGGTGTCTAGGACTCTGTAATGTGCAAGTGTGTTTTATATGTTCTATACGGACCGAATAATATAATATTTATTAAATAAAGCACTAGAAGTTATTCCAACACTAATTTATAGGGATATCATATAAGCCACTTGTTAACAAGTAGGTAGTCCACCAAAAATCATCATAAAAAGAAACAGAGAAAAAATAGCTATAGTAAAGCATTCGATTTGGTAACCTATAAATACACAAAAATCAAATGTATGTCTTTCAGTCAGAACAAATGCCTCATATAGTTTGCAAATTCCTAGTACCATATTAAACTAAATGTAACACAACAAAGATTCATTGCACTTAAATAATGTATTTCCAGTTATCCTGCCATATTATGTGACTTTTCTTTTTTCTTTTTGCTAGGAATGTAAATATCATTATAATGAAAAGTTTAGAGAATACAAGTTCGAGCTATTCCAATACTAAAAATCAAAAATCTAAACTAAAGGGTACATATTATTTTAATTATTTGAGAAAAGAGAAACACATAAGATAAAATGCTTTGCTTGTTGGAGAGTAATTGCTTTCTTTTGGAACTTGGAAGACAGGAGTGAGAACTGATAAGAGACATAAACGGCATGTTGCGTGGATGACAAGAGAAGAAATTTGGTATTTGTTCCAAAAAAGTTTCAAGCCTCGCCGTTTAATGGTATAACCGACCTTATTGCTATGTACATCATTGGGAACCGGTTTAAATATATACGTACAATGACATTTGCATGTAAAATCTCAACTTAGAAAATGTTGATTTTGTGCGAAAGCAATTGTGAGAAATCAGACTATGGACACGTGGATTCCGTGACATGTGTTAGATTCTTGGGCCTTGGAAGACAGAGGCACACGTGGATTTGTTGGGCTATTGTGATGAAGGCCCACTTTCTGAACATCTACAAGTGCTTACGTATATCTTAAATTTTCATTTTGTCCTCATTATTCACTTGCATTTAATTAGTCCTACAAAACACGATTAAATAGTTGGAAAATTTAGAACCCATTAAATAGACAAAAACTAAGGATTAACCAAAGTTTGGAAGTAGCATAACAAGTAACAACTGAGATTGTCTACGCATAGAACATATCAAAAGAGAACGTTGCTTGATACAGACTCAACTGAAAGTTGAAAATTGAAACGGTCGGTGGAATAAGTTTTCTCTATTTTGGTCAGATGACTCCAAGTGCATTAACTAGTGTAAGTCACGACTTATACGATATTTCTAAACTAGATTCGGTTTTGCCAACTCTACAAGTCATTTACGTGTACTGACACAATTACATTTTGGTTTCCCACATTGACAAAAATAATTAAAAAAAACAAAAAGAAAAGAAAGTAACAAGTTACAAGGCTAAAATGAGTGTTATTCAATTATATAGGTTTTATAATCATTTATATTCAAATTTTTTATTTTATTTTAAGCATTCATATTAGTTGATTATAAAATCTCTGTAATATCTCATTTGTTTTATTTTTAATAATTTACTCATAGAACTTATTGAAATTCATTTCAAACAATTAAGTAAATAAATATTTTAAAAGTCATTTAGTTTTGAATAACACTGAATTTTAAATTTTGATTGAAAAATAATAAATTTAAAAATCTATTAATAATTGAATTGTAGTTTATTTTAAATACAACGTCCAATAAGGGCATCTCCATCCCTGGATTTAAACAAGGTTTTAAAGTAAATAGGTGATTTAAATAAAGTTTAATCCAATAATATACTAAATCCGAGTCTTTAGACTCATTTTCTTATTTAAAAACCGCACACGTGTCAAGAGCATATTTAAAGAATTTTGAGAACATAAAAAAAAATAAAAAAAATACTTAATTTATCTCTTTCTCTCTCTCTTCCTCTCTCTCGTCTTTCATCGTCGAGAAATATAGTTCGGATTCCGTTAACAGAATTTCATATTCTTACTCTTCTATGTCCATCAAAAATCTTTCATCTGTCACACTTGTTTGTTTCTATTGTCTCTATTGACTTGGGAGTTTGAATGTGTTGTTTTTAGAAGTTGGAGAAGGATTTTGGAGTGATTGGGCCTCTTGTTCGTGAATGGATTGGGTTTCAGCAATTCCCAGCGGCAACTCAAGAAAAGTTAGTTGAATTCTTCGGTAAACTTAGCAAAAGATATTGCTCTCTTGAGAATTTGAATTGAATTTGAATTTTGTAAAAAAAGAAAAAATTGTTAAGAACCAAATAAAAAGGTTTTAGGGATGGAGGAAGAAAAAAAAAAAAAAAAACTTACAAAAGTTGTTAATATTGATTTTTGTGAAAGTTAATAATAAAAAATAATTTAGAACCAAAAATATGGTTTTAGGGATGGAGATGGCCTAACACCTCCTAAACAGAATACGAAAATGACAAAAACCTATCCAAAAAAACTTTAACCTACACAAGCAACAAACTAAAGCTCTTTGGTAAAAAAAAAAAACAAATTAAAGCTTAAACACAAAGGGAGAGACACATATGCATGCATATACATTCGCATACATAGTATAAGCTAGCTTCCATTTGTTACAAAGACAGAAGAAACCAGAGACATGCACCAAGACAACGAATCGGGTTCGGGTTCGGGCTCGAATCCGGGTTACGGGTCGAACTACTTGATTGTCCGGCCTCACCGAGGTGGGTACACCGACTTATTCCGATACGGTGTGAGAGGCGACGAAGCGAGCAAGGCAAAGTTCCTGGAATGGCCTGAGCACAGAAGTCGGAGCACGGCGGTGATTGACGAGGAAGCTGAAGATCGCCGTTGGGTAATCGTTGTTTCGATCCTGGTCCGTAAGATCATCGGACTTCTCCGAACGCCGATGGAAATCACAGGTCGCTTCGTTGACTTCTTCCTCAATCTCTTGTCTGCGAACGGTGGCTTCTTCGGTTTGCTTCTCCGGATAATCCAAGGTAATTTATAAAGTCACAAACTTTCCACAGAAACGAAAAGTCTCATAGTGTAAATTCGGATGCTTTTTTTTTTGTTGGACAGCGAAAGTTGTGATACCAGAGAGAGGCTCTGTGACGTTTATTAGCACAATTGGTCATCTCGATGGTCGAATTGATCTGTATAAAGGATGGAATTTCGTCGAACAGTTGGTGAGCATAGACTCGGTCAATTCCGGTTCGCCTGGAAGCGTCGGAATCGAGCCGGGAAGTCGTGGGCTTATGGATTTGTGTGTGATGGCGTCGAAGCTTGCGTATGAAAACGCCAAGGTTGTTGAAAACGTCGTTAATCTCCATTGGAAGGCAAGTTAGTTTTAAAAACAGAAACTTTAAACACATTTTCATGAGGAAAAAGTTTCCAACTTTGTGAATTTTTTCGCCTGCAGATGAATCTGGTGGAGTTCTTGGATTGTTGGAATGGTGAGAATTAGATTAGCAAGATTTTAAGCATTTGGCTTTGACTTTGAACACATTTTGAACACATTTGTGTATCTTTCTTTGCAGAGTATCAGGAGCAGTTGTCTACACAAGTCTTCATACTCACGGATAAGCAGAAAGATGCAAACTTGATCCTAGTCAGCTTCAGAGGCACTGAGCCGTTTGATGCGGACGATTGGGGAACCGATTTCGACTACTCTTGGTACGACATTCCCAACGCAGGAAAGCTTCACATGGGTTTCATTGAAGCCATGGGTTTAGGCAGCAGAAACGACACTCCCACTTTCCATTACCATCTTTTAGCACAAACCTCCTCCGACTCCGAGGAAGAGAGTCATAAGAGGAGGAATGTCCTAGAGATGGGAAAGAGAAGCGCTTATTACGCTGTTCAGAAAACTCTGGAACGTCTTCTCTCGGAACACGAGAACGCGCAGTTTGTAGTCACGGGGCATAGCTTGGGAGGTGCTTTGGCGATACTGTTTCCCACGTTGCTTGTGTTGAAAGAGGAAACGGAGATGATGAAGAGGCTGCTTGGAGTTTACACGTTTGGACAACCGAGGATTGGGAACAGAGAGATCGGGAGTTTCATGACAGCTCAGCTAAATCACCCCGTGGACCGGTACTTTCGAGTTGTGTACTGCAACGATCTTGTCCCGAGGTTGCCTTACGACGACAAAACGTTCCTCTACAAACATTTCGGAACTTGTCTTTACTATGACAGCTTCTACAACGAGACAGTAATGTTATAATCACTTTTTTTTTTTTGGTCAGATTTTGGAATGTGAGATTGATTTTACTAATGATGGTTTGTTTTCTCGAATGTTTGACAGAAAGCAGAGGATGAGCCGGATCCGAACCCTTACGGTATGCGTTACGAGATTCTTGGCCATGTGAACGCGGTTTGGGAGTTGGTTAGAGGCTTGACGATGGGGTATATTTATGGACCGGGTTATAGAGAAGGTTGGTTTAGGATCTTGTTAAGGCTCGTGGGACTGTTGATTCCAGGTCTATCGGATCATTGCACGAATGACTACGTTAACTCGGTTAGGCTTGGACCGGATTATGATCTTCAGATGTCCCCTCTTTGAAGAAGAGTGCTCTGTTTCGAACATGAACTTGGTTCTTGTTGGAATAAATCTTGACTGAACCGGAACTCGGTTAAGATGTTTGTTTTGTAGAATTAGATAAGATGAGGTCTCTTGTTTGTTTAGTTTTTGTAGCTTGAGCCAATAAAAGACTACAAATTGCCAAAATTTAAGTTTTATTCTTCTAGTAGTTACAACCAGAGGCAAAAATCAAACAAGAAGATCTTGAGGCCATAGATGAAACCGAAAGATTTCATTGTATGAAACTTCTTTTCTTACATAACATAATCTGTGGCTGCGTCTCTCTATATGTTCCAAAAACAGTAAAAACTCCGCCAGCTCAATCAGCGGATAAAGTGATCTCTCTCTTTTGGTTGATGCAAAATAACCCATGAAAACCAAAAAGAACAAAAAAGAAAAAAAAAAACCTAAAGATTGGGTCTTTAGGTTTTTTAAAAGCAAGATTTTGCAGGGTTTTGCACCAAAAGAAGAGAGAGCATCAAACGTTCTTGGAGAGAGAGACACATCAAGCCATGCAGCCACCAACACCAACAGAGAGCGAGCTTAGTCATCAGTGGAGATTCTAGAAGAGATAGAGAGCAGAGGGGTATATATATACGTATATTGTTACATGTAGAGGTTAATCTGAAGGAGAAAGCCAAGGGGTCTGTCTCTTTATTCATCGCCATGGATGTACCAGCAGCAAAGCATGGTGGCGCAACGGCGGAGAATATAGAGACGAGCTCGTTGTTCCTTCACCAAGGAAACACATTTGCTTGTAAAGGCCTGACCTTTGTTGAACTTTCTCTTGAAGTTTGCCATGGAGTTAACAATTAGGGTTTTTATTGGTGATCAAAGATTGAGACTTTGGGGTGCCCCAAAAAAACCCTTTTGTGGGTGATGGAAGAGAGTGCAAATGAAAGAAATGAGATGAAGGAGAAAATGGATTAGAAGAGTATATATAGAGAAGAAAAGAAGAAAGAGGTGCAGTAAATAAAAAGGAAGTGAATTAAGAGGAGATGAACATGGTCTTGATTTTTTTTGGTTCATTGACATAGGGATTTGCATGGCCCGCTTTGAATTCTCCAATGAACTATACTTTCATGAAATCATAACTTTAGACATAAATCTTTTATTCTGTCATTGTAGTGTATTTGTATCTATCATATTATGGGCTGCAAAATATAATTATTTCTGTACCCTTTATTTAAAAATGTAAGAAACGCGGTAAACACAGCTGTTGATATGGATAGTATTTGTTTTTAACCCTTACAAGAAATTATTTAACGTAACAACATTATTTAATAATAGGCTTCCACACAATCTAAATAAAGAAGAGGAAGAAGAAAGAGTAGAAAACGGAGAAAGGTGGGCATAAAAAGAGGAGAGATGTTGAAAGAAGACAAAACATTGAGATTTGGTTAAGGTTTAGGGGAACATGCAACCGGCAATCTTATCTTCTTCGCCTTCTCCACTTGAGGGTTTGTTTGCTTCGCTTCTCTTTTTTTAATCTCAAGTCTCAACTTATATGATCAAAACCGAATTATCTCTTAAGAGCATCGAGTCATCGAATCAAACCTGATCGAAAAATATTTTGCTAAACCATACAGATATTATATAAAAACATTGATTTCGATTTCAATCATTCAATGACTGGTATTCGCTATTTTGGGGACTGCTTCGATCTGATCTCGATGGTTAATAACCCAAAAAAGCTACATACACCTTTGCTTTAGAACTTAGTATGATTTTAGGAACTCTTAAAAGTCTTTCCATTCATTTATTATACGTTGTATAATTATGGTTTGTGTTGATTGTGTTGTGAAAGGGGTAAATTAAAAGGACAGCCACAAGATATATGGTGTATTATATTTTTTAACGTCAAAAGATATTATGGCATAAATACGAACTATAATATTTGATAGCTAGACTGCATGTGGTCAGACCAACCATATCAGCTTGGGTTTCAAAACATATCTTTACCCATTTTCATAATTAAGTTACGCAAAACAGAAGATCTGTTAGCGAGATTGTGACTGTTCCCGTTTCTCTATCAACATTCGTTGCGGTTTTACAGCTGCTAGAACAAAATCATCCCTCTTGATTTTGTCCTTATTTTTCTAGTCAGTTCTTCGTCACTTAGTGTATTAATTTGTGGATCACAACAGATTGGATCACATTCAAATCCTCGTCAATCTTTTTATACATAATAAAATACGAAGACTTTGTTATTGTGGGTCTAAAGAGGATTCTAAGCCCAACCAGAATCAGTATTTTTATTATGTTGTTTCTCTTCGTATATAACCAAATCAATACTCCCACATTCCAATAAATTGAAGGATACGATGTGGGCTACTACCATATCATCTTCTTTGTTTATGCTTTTGGTGGTCATTGGTCAACAGGCTACAACCATCTCTCCTAGGTTATCGTAGTGAGATAGATATAATCGTCCTAAATCCTAACAGTAAAGCCCAAAATTTAACTCCAGTCCAATTTTGATTATGATGGGTCTTAAGTAGACCCATTTGTATCTAACTTGGTGTAACCATAGCATCTTTCTTCATTCAACTTGATATTTTATGGATGTTTGCAAGGTGCAATGCAGTTGAAAATAACGAAGTTACATGTTTTTGTTCATTTTTAGATTTTAAAGATTGTTTTCTTCCTATTAACCATTTTAGTCTGACATGAAAATTACTCAAATCTAAAAGTAATTATGTGTGAGAGAGTACTGGTGTATTGTCAATTAGTCATGATCATATAAAAATAAAAACAGTTAGCGTTTGTTAATCTTGACTTGTAAACTTGTAACCTATTTTGTTTTCCAATGCAGTCAGTGTATATAGACGAAGAGATGACAAAAATATTATATATTCTTGTGTAATCTCCATATACAAAATCGTTGAACATTCTATTGTATACAAACACTAATTAACACACATATACACCCTCTACGTTTGTGTTGTTTTACTTAAAAAAAAAGAAGAAGAAGAAAGCGTGAGATAGCCTTAAACGCGTTTGCGACTCGCGTAGCTTTTGCCTACATAATGATAGTAATTACTGTTGCTCTGATTTTTACTCCCGCCGTTAGAGCTTTTACCGCGCAGTAAATAAAACAACGCCCTCCACAAAAACGACTTCCTCCGTCGCGGTGAAACGGCGGTCACGTGACCAGCATGTGCTCTCGTCGATTTCTTGATCACAAGCCCTCTAACTTCCTCCGGTGGCTTGTAATGCCTAATCAACGGCCACTTGATCCCATCGAAAAACGGGTGACGTTTGATATCTTGCGCACCCCTGGCGCATCCTAGCCTTTTCCTCGGGTCCTTCACCAGAAGCTTCTCAATCAAGTCCCTCGCTTCCTCCGACTCACCGTCCACGTGGAAACTCACGTTCTTGGTGGTCGACGCTATGTTGCGCAGGGTCTGCTCTTTACTCTCTCCCTTAAACGGCGTCGCTCCGTACAACAGCTCGTAAAGGAATATTCCGAACGCCCACCAGTCAACTCCGCTTCCGTGTCCATTCCCGGAGACTAGCTCTGGCGCTAGGTACTCGTGTGTCCCGACGCAAGACCGTGAAAACGCAGCCACTGGCTCCGCCGCAAACTCCGCCACGATCTCCTCTCTCTCGTACTTTTCCTCCGTCGCGGCCAACGAGAAACACCCGCTCCTCCGTCGACGAAGAGACGGAGAAGAAGATGTTCTCCGGTAGCGGCGAGATTTAAAAGTAGGAACCACATCGGACTTAAAACATAGATCGAAGTCAGACAACATGACGTGTCCGTCTTCTCGGAGCAAAACGTTTTCCGGTTTGAGATCGCGGTATACGATTCCCATCGCGTGGAGATACTCCAAGGCGACGAGAACTTCGGCGGCGAAGAATCTAACCGGCTGAAGCGGTAAACGGTTACCAGGTTGCTTGCGTAGCAAGGAATGTAAGTCTCCGTTGGGAGCGTAATCGATGAGGAGGCACGTATAGTGAGACTCATCGATGCGAGCGTAGAGCGTAGGGAGGAAAGGGTGGTCTAGCAAGGAGAGGATCTCTGCCTCCGTCTCTACCTGAGAGAGCTTCTTCGCTGTTGTGAGATTGTTTCGATCGATGACTTTTAGGGCGAATCTGGCGGAGGAGTCACGGAGGTTGCAGAGGAAGACTCTGCCTAGGTTTCCGGTGCCGAGGTGGCGTATTAGTTTAAGGTGACGGAGGTGGATGTTTCCGTCGGAGGAGAGAGTTTTGGCTGATTTGATGGCAGACCAGTGAGGATCGTGACGACGGTGGTTGACGGTGGAAGTGGAGGAGGTTGTTACGGCGGAGGAAGTGGATAGTCTGTCGTTGAAGCTTAAGGTGAGGCTGGAGCGAGCGCTGGAGGAGGCGAATGTACGGTCGGTGACGGTGGATGTGAAGCTGAGATCGAGATCGGTGTCGGGGAAATATATATCTTCTTCTTCCATTTTTGTTTGTTTTTTTTTTATTCACTTCTTTGTTTTGTGTATAATGGGCGGGGAACTTTGAGATATTTATAAAGAAGAGGAGGAGAAGGAGAAATGTGATTAACTAATTAATTGAAAAAGGTTAATGTTTGGAGGATTTAGGCTTTGACTTGGGGGGAAGTTGGGAAAAGACAAGCGGAAGTGATTCGTTTGACATTAGTGAACAGTTTAAATAATTAATTAATCACGACTGGAACTAATTTGCCATTAATTTTGGGTTTGCAATTACATGATTGTTTCACCATAGGCTGAGCACATGTATACATGATAGTAGTGTTTTATGAAAAATAAGCAGTTACTGTTTCTACAATAGGTTTAATTTCTACCCTAGTTTTTAATAGGTGCGTGAATGTGAAGAAACTTGAGGTCAGTGAGATTAAATACGCGACTGTGTGCATTAATGAGGCAGTAACAGTTTGTCGGCTGTAACGTTCCTCAAAATTAGCTTCATCTCGCTTACGACGTGTACTGAATCTTCATCTAATCGTTTAATGACTCAATTATATGTTTATTGCTAAAATAGTTGTTTTCAGTTTTCACCATATTCCAACATATAAAAATGATCTCATCTATCAAAATTGTAAGCTAAAATGCGAGAGAGATATACACTACCCGCCTACGCATGCATATGCATGGAAATTCTTAACGTTGTAAATAGAACTATCTACAATTCTTCATTTTGAAAAAGTGTCTATTTTAGTACTATGCGATAATTAATGATATTAGTTAAAAAAAAGGTATGAATATCTTGTACTTTAAAGCTATGTCTTACACTAGAATACAACTGTAAAATAATGTATTTTGAAAGAAACAAAAGTATTTGGTTATTTTTTTTGTTAAACAACAGCAATTTGATTATGCAAATGTATAATAATATCTTCTCAAAACGATAGAAGTTTTAATAATTGGTTTTATAGTATTAAAACATAAAATTTGCATCGTTGGGTCAGAAATTTAAGAGGGATTCGCATGTTGAAGAGAATATGGGAATTGGATCCATGTGATGGGCCATTACTATGGCTTCTTACCGTTGCGGGACCCACGTCGACTGAAAAGTCTTACTTTGTCTGCCACGTGGCCAACATAGGACCCACCTTTGTCGCTTCTAACAATTTTGTAATCTGTTCTCTGTGGGCCTCTCTTTTTAAAACTAATACTAGTATAAAATTAGGTTAATAATTCTTCCCATTTACTTCCTACCTGTATATTATTATTTTTAGCAGTACCATTTTTGTTCTTCTTAATCAATTATTGTAGTTACCAAATTATAACCTCGTGGATTGCTCGTTGATCAGGTTGACATCTATTGATATAATATATATATTTTTTATAAAATATATATTAGGTCTTAATGTAGAGACTTGACGATTAACCGAAGACGGGTTAACTAACAGAATACATAGATTAATGATTGGTTTAGGTGTAGTTTCTCAAAATATATGCTTATATTTAAGTCTTTCATCTTGAGCAATTTTATAAATTAGTCCTTATTTGAATCATTACTATAGATATATACCATATCGGACCGGTATGCATGATGTAAGTTGCAAAACAAAATCGTCATTATATTTTTGTTAAACCCAAAATGTCTGGAAAAGAAAAAACACGAGGATCTTACTCCAAGTGTATGTGTTAGCGGGTGATTGAACACAATGTGTCAGTGTGTATCATTAAGCGATTTGCATGAGAAGTATTGGGATTTTATTATAATTTACCACGTGTTTTGGCGTAATGAATCGATCCATTTATACTCTGGTCGACGAACGTGATAATTAAATTATTACTACCTTCTTATCTTCAATAAGACTCATATTATAATTAGTTAGTAGCTTTACATTATACTCCACTATAGCACTACTGTGAGTAAACGTTAGTATCATACTATTACGAGTTAGTTCAACTTTATTTCAATATATAAATATACTCCATTCTCATTAAAGTTTTCTTAGTTTTGTTCGTCTCAGTTTCGAATGCTATGAGCCTATGAAAATACAACGCAAAAGGGGGAAAAAAAATTGAGAAAAAAAATAATTGACGAGGGCAAAGAATCCAACCTGTATTAATTATTAAGAGTGCTATTATTTGAGACCAAATAATGCTAACCTTTCATGTGATGAACAGTTGCATTTTGCCACAACTACTTGTAAGTTGTAACAGAAAGAGAAAAATCTCATCATTTATATGATATATCTATAATTTAATGATTAATCTAATCCGTGCCTTACATGAGAATGTAAATAGAAAGATACAAAAACTTTTTGTCCCTTATTATAGTTTGTTAAGCTTAGGTGGTTAGGTAGGTAGATGTTGGTTAATTGCTGGTTATATTATTATTAACCCATGTATATTAACTGATATAGCAACATAAAGCTTGGTAAATACAAACGTTTTACTCCTCCCTTCGCTAAGCTAGCCCTCTCGTTTCTCTTCTTTTGTTCTCTACTGGAGCTCACGTTCTAATATATTACTACTATATATGATTATATGAACCTTTTATTACAGTAAAGTTGTATACCCTTGAATAATTTATGTATTAGATCATTCTAAAAACACATATTGAAGCTGTGATAGTTTATGACATAATACTCAGTGAGGAAATGAAAGGACAACTTGCATAAACCCTTGACCTAGTCTATAAATATTTTAACAATTTTTCTTTTCAAGACTGTACTATAAATGCATCGGAGTTATATTGACGCCCAAACAACTACGCATTGGAGTGTAAACTATACTAGTTATAGTACCTTTTGAGGTGCAGTGCATCTAGCTTGAATCATTTTCAATACGATGATTAATTTTGTAAATTATTGTGTCCTAATTAAGCTCCCTGGTTTAGTGCACATAATACATCACTTTAATTCAACAAGTTTGACATGGTCATATGACTCATATCACATGTACCAACGTTCATTGAGATCAAAACAAAACAGAAGCTCCCAAGTCCTAATCATCACCTTGGAGCCCACAACCAAATTATATAATAATTAAACAACATACCATATGGGTTTTCAAATACATTGAACTATGCCCACTTTTAATTTAAAATGATCTAAATAACTTAACTAAAAGCCTAACTAGAGACTGAAATCAAAACAAATAAGTTAGTCGACAGAATTATATGACATAACCAACACACAAGGGGACATGCACACTCTAATACATCCATAACTTGGAGTAGAATGTAACTATTTGAGGTTAGTAGTATCAATAATCTACAATGTCACTCTAGAAGTCAAATAGTCAATGTTTGTGGTTGACTAATTCAATCTTGGCCCATACATGTAAACGGGCTTTACGTCATAGTTATATTTCTATTTCGCTTCCAATCTTCTTCTTTCTCATGGGGTCGCTACTGATCACTATAGTTGTTCTGTTTTGTAGATTCTGTATGCAGTTTGTTGTCCTTTATTCACATCTAACTCCTAATTTTTCTATATGATAGACACATGAATTTGCGTTTGTAAGTTAGTCTACATTACAAATTAGTCCTTCTTTGGTTAAGATATTTATAATCTTTTGCTACCTTGTAAGAATTTCTACATACATGTTATATACCACCCAATTGTCTTAGCCGCTAGAACCACACACGTGACAACCTAATCTATGAAGAACACTGTCCAGACGCGGATCATGCGTATTATATTAGACACGGAATGACTAATACAAAGATAGCAGAAACAAGTGTGTAGGCAGAAAAAATCCATTAGCATTCACCAAATACCTACAAGAAGAGGAAAACAAAAGCAAAGGTTCATTAATTCACTACAAGAAAACAAGGGCAATTTCGACCAAATTTCCGACTCTTAGCATCGGTCGGAAGTTGTTCCGACGAATTTCTGACCATTTTCTGACGGATTCCATTTTGGTAACAAATCGGTCGGAAATGGGTGACGGAAATTCGCGGTCAGAAGGCAGTCGGAAATTTCCGACTGATTCCCGATGGAAAATGTAACCGTTTGAATTACGGTCGGCAATCGGTCGGAAATAGCCGACGAAAACTATCGGTCGAGAATCAGTCAGATATTTCCGACCAATTTCCGACGGTCGATATAACCGTATGAAATTACGGTCGGAAATCGGTCGGTTTTATATTACCGTTGAAAATTAACAGGAATTGGTCGGGATTCGGTCAGAATAAAACCGTTTGTAGCCGTTTGAAATTTTCGGTCAGAAGGCAGTCGGAAATAGCCGACGAAAATAATCGGTCGAGAATCAGTCAGATATTTCCGACCAATTCCCGACAGTCGATATAACCGTTTGAAATTGCGGTCGGAAATCGGTCGGTTTTATATTACCGTTGAAAATCGACAGGAATTGGTCGGGATTCGGTCAGAATAATGTAGCCGTTTGTAGCCGTTTGAAATCCAGTCGGAAATTGGTCGGAAAACTGGAGGGGAATCAGTCGGAAATTGGTCGGGGACTTTCTGAAAATTGCCTATATAAATTAGACACTCCCTTACAGATCTAGAAACGAAAAAAATTTCCAAAATCTAAAAATGTCTCGAAACAGTGCTAACTTTCGATCTTGGATGTACAATAATCAATGGAATCCAAATACGGGGCTAGTTACACAGGAGTTTGCTGACGGACTCACGGAATTCATGCAGTTTGCGACACAACAAGATATATGCTTGCAAAATGGTAAAATGTTCTGCCCATGCCCTCGTTGTAATAATAATAAATTTATTATTGTAGATAGGGTGTGGAAACATTTGTATGAACGAGGGTTTAGGCCGAATTACAAAGTCTGGTATTCTCACGGAGAAATAGATTTAGTGGAGGAACCTAGTTGTAGTGAATATAGTGCTGAAAGGTTAGAGGAATCTAGAATGGTAGAAGAAGATAGTGCTGAAAGGTTAGAGGAAGCTAGAATGGTAGAAGAAGATAGAGGTACATTTCAAATGGTAAGCGATGCATTTCGTGAAGATATTCCATCGTCTACAGAAAATGAAATTGGTGTAGAGGAACCAAATCTAGAAGCAAAGAAGTTTTTCGATATGTTAAATGCGGCCAAGCATCCAATATATCCAGGTTGTAAGGAGGGTTATTCGGCTCTCTCAGCTGCGACTAGGGTGATGCAACTGAAAACGGATTTTAACATGTCGGAGGATTGTGTTGATGCGTGGGCTGATTATATCAACGATTACATGCCAGAAGATAACTTGCATCCACCTTCGTACTATGCGGTAGAGAAACTGGTTTCTGGTCTGGGTATGCCTTATCAGATGATCGACGTTTGCATCGACAATTGTATGATTTATTGGAGAGAGGATGCACATCGCTTGGTTTGTAAGTTTTGTCGCAAACCCCGTTTTCAGGAGACCAGTGGAAGAGTTCCCATACCGTACAAGCGTATGTGGTACTTACCGTTAGCAGAACGGTTGAAGAGGCTATATCAATCTCTTCGTACTGCGGGGTCCATGAGATGGCATGCCGAACATTCTACCGAAGGAGAAATTGTGCATCCGTCAGATGCAAAAGCATGGAAACAGTTTCAAGAAGTGTATCCTCATTTTGCTTTCGAGAGCAGGAACGTCTACCTTGGGTTATGTACTGATGGCTTCAACCCGTTTGGAAAGCATGGGAGGCAGTATTCTTTGTCGCCAGTCATTGTCACGCCTTACAATTTGCCACCATCGCTGTGCATGAAACGAGAGTTTTTGTTCCTCACCATCCTTGTTCCGGGTCCAGAACATCCTAAAGGTTCACTTGATGTGTTCTTACAACCTTTGATTTACGAGCTGCAAGAGTTATGGGAGCATGGTGTTCAAGCCTTTGATGTTTCGTGCCAGCAAAATTTTTTGATGCGCGCTGCCCTTATGTGGACGATAAGCGATTTTCCTGCATACGGCATGTTATCTGGATGGTCAACGCATGGAAGGTTATCATGTCCGTATTGTCAAGATAATACTGATGCCATCCGACTTAAACATGGTGGGAAGACAAGTTGGTTTGATTGTCATAGGAGGTTTCTTCCAAGTAACCATGAATATCGAGAGAGCACGACAAAGTTTACAAAAAACAAGACTGTTTGGGATGGTCCACCGCCAGAGTTAGACGGGAAGTATATGTTGGATCAATTAAGTGATTTTGATGTAGATAGAACTACAGATTGCGGTGGAAGTGGACATGTTCGTGTTAAAGGTTGTGGAGAGTTTCACAATTGGCACAAAAAAAGTATTTTCTGGGATTTGCCATATTGGAAGGATCAGCTACTCAGGCACAATCTAGATGTCATGCACATCGAGAAGAACTTCTTTGACAACATCATGAATACAGTGTTAAATGTCAAAGGCAAGACGAAAGATAATTTGAAGTCAAGATTAGATTTGCCTGCTATATGTGTGCGTGATGAGCTACATGTCTCGGAAGACGGGAAAGGCCCCAGCCCCATTTTCAGATTGGAAGGGGCTGCAAAGGATGAGTTCTTTCAGTGGATTATCCACAACGTCAAATTCCCTGATGGATATGCTTCAAACCTACGAAACTGTGTAGACAGTCAAGAAGGCCGCTTAAGTGGAATGAAAAGTCATGATTGTCATGTTTTTATGGAAAGGCTCCTTCCATTCGCATTTGCCAAACTCTTACCTGTACCAGTGCATGAAGCTATTGCAGGTATTAATCTTTTGTTTAACTCGTCAATTATTTTAAATATATATGTTATTGTATTTATATAATATGTTATTATAATTGCAGGAATATGTGCTTTCTTTCGAGACCTATGCTCAAGATCACTTACATCTGAAGGGATCCAACATTTGGAGGACAAAATCGCAGTTATTCTTTGCAATCTTGAACAAATATTTCCACCATCTTTCTTTGATGTAATGGAGCATCTTGCAATTCATTTACCTCGGGAGACAGAACTTGGTGGTCCGGTTCAGTATAGGTGGATGTATCCGTTCGAGCGTTTCATGTTTCATCTCAAAAAGAAGGTTAAAAATTTAAGCAAGGTGGAGGGCTCGATTGTCGCTCAATGCATTAATGAAGAAAGATCAAACTTCTCATCTCACTACTTCGCACTTCAAGTTCAAACAAAGAGTAGAAAACCGGGTCGCAATGACGATGGAGGAGAAAAACCAAAATATCGTACCTATGTGCCAGATATGTTTGCACAAGTCGGACGTTTAAGTGGAAAACAGAGGAAACGATGGCTAACTGCACAGGAGCAAACGCATTTGCATACATATATTCTTCTCAACTGTGAGGATATACTGCCATATGAACGGTATATTTTAAATTTATGTTTCTTAATTTGCATTTATTTTTTAAACAAATTGGTTAAAATTTTAACTAATATATTTTATTTATTTACAGAATGTATGATGATCAGGTTAGAATGAGTTGCCCATATATTACAGATGATGAGCTTGCTAGTTTGAAGCAAAGAGAATTTGCGAATTGGATGAAATTCTATGTGAGTTTTAATTTGAAGATTTACTTTAATTTAATGTTTAAAGTACATGTTATATAAATTACTAATACAAAGATAGCAAAAACAAGTGTGTAGGCAGAAAAAATCCATTAGCATTCACCAAATACCTACAAGAAGAGGAAAACAAAAGCAAAGGTTCATTAATTATATTGATTGTTCTTTAGCCAAGAAAGAAGAGAGAGAAGAAGGTGCACTTAAAATCTCCAACATTTGAGTACGAAAGATAGCCAAAGTCAATGGAGATAGAGGCATTGATGCTGCTTGCAGGACAGTCTCTGCCGTTCACTCTGTGCGGTCAAGCTCTCAGGCTGAGCTGTCAATAGTGTTTTGATTAGCCTTGTCAGTTTTTTTGTTTCTGTGTTAAGGAAAGAGAGATCTTGCCTCATATAATGTTAAGTGTGCAAGTAATAAAAGACAAACCAGCCGCTCAAGCATTCAATATTGCCATGTGGTGATTATAACGTCACCAATCTCAATTTTAGGTTACTCTCTTGTTTTGTTTGCTCTAATTTTTCATTTTATCTAAATTTGGTATATAAAGGACTATTCCAAATCCTGAATGTTTGTGTGTTTTTATATATCTATGAGAGTGTTTGTGTGTGCGTGTGTATCTGGAATCTGACATAGAGGAATAGAGAAGGAAACAGAGCCAAGATCAACTTGCCAGACACACATCAACAGATTAATGTGTATTGACCAAAATAAACCGGTTTTGTGAAAACCGGCAAGTCATCCTTGGCTCAACCTCATTCTCTATTCCTTCATGCAAGACTCTCCGATACAACAAGAAACTCCCATCACCGTCTCTCGATACAGAGATACTTCTTTTTAATTTTGTTACCTCTTTCTTTGATTCTTGTGTTGTGGTTAAGCCTAGTTTAGATGTATTGGCATTTATAGACATACAAATGCGGTAAGTTGTGTATATTAATTTATTCTCGATTCCATTTCCACATGCATGGTTGGGAATTTTGACTAAAACCCTATTTCAAGAATAAATTTTAAAATTTGGGATCAGAGAATATAATCTAAAAGATGGTCTGACCATATTTTCCAAATTCCCAATTTCCGATCTAAGTCGAATAGTTTCTATTCGATTCCTCCCACTACTTCATCGCACAGAAAATTTGTAAATAATAATGCAAATATAGATGGTCGTAGAAACAAATAGAGGAATTTCGAATAAAAATTGTGGATAAATAGAATATTAGAGAATAGTGTTTACAGTGGGAAATGGGATTTTTCTTATGATATACTGTAATAAATAATAAATACGTCAACGCATTTTTCAACAAGATTTACAAGTTCTTGCATGAGTCTGTTAACGCCGGAAAGCTTACGTCAACTAACTCTCTATATCGCTAGATGGGGATGGTGGCGGGAAGCTTGAATAAGCAAAATGTACCAATGCGACGCCGTATTGGAGCAGCTACGTAACTTATTTTGTTTGTGTGGTCTCTATTAGAACAAATCAGTTCTGAATGCTACGACGTCTAACAACTATGTCACCTCAGTTGTCCCATCAGGCCATTATATATGCGGTAGATCTCTTTCTTCTTCTAATGAACTAGCTTCCTCGTGTTTATTAACATCTCCATCTCGCGGTGGATGTTCATAAACCTTGCAATATACTTCAAGAACAAACAAAACTTAAATGCTCAGCCCTACGTTATGGCTTTTGAGTTAAGTGACCGTAATATATGTTAACGTATGTACATCAATGAGACATGTACGTTTATTGGTGTATGTCATCTTCAAGAAATTAGTACTAAAAGTTTGGTATGTCCAACTCATTTTGCTACAAGTTGTTACCGTTATGTTGCTGTCAATTGTTTTTATTTTCGAGACTTTTTGAAAGATTATACATATAATCTTGATTTTATTTTGTTTTCGTAGCATGTGTATTTTTCGAATTAGACTGGTGAAACTTTAAAATTTTGTTATATATATATATATATGGTCATGAGTCTTATGACTGTGATTGTATCACTAGTTAACATTAGCGAGAAAACCCTTGATATTAGTTACTCTTTTATTCAACTTTCTCTTTCGATCGCTTTAACCAAACAAGGACATATATCTGTTTCTTTGTATCTCGTACGTGTGTCCTCCTCTTTCTGAGTTCTTTGCTATATCATTGCTTAGGTGCTTCAAATCTGGTGAAGAGTCTATAGGAAGAGATGAGAGAAAGCAAGATGTAGAGAGCAGTTACAAGGAATGTCAATAGAACTGAGACCAGTGCCTTGTGACAGAAGACTCCGTAGTAATCACAAGCAGAGCTCCAAGTGATGGATAAATTTCCTTTATATGTTAAGTAAACCGTCTCTGCACCTACAGCTCCAGCCGCTAGAACCGCGTACGTGACCACCTGGTCAAGCAAGAACAGTGTCCAGACTCGGAGCTTGCTTATTGGACACGGAATGACTACTATTGCGACAGCAGAAAAAAGAGAATATGCAGCACAAACGCCATTAGCGTTCACCAAATACCTACAAGGCGAGATAAACAAAAAGCAAAGGTTCGTTGATTGATTAATCTTGAGTGAAGGAAGGAGAAGAAGAAGAAGTTAGTGCACTTGAAAGCTCCAAGATTTGAGTAAGAAAGAGAGCCATAGTCGTTGGATATAGAGTTCTTGATCATGATGACGAGACCCACGATACTTAGAGCCATTGATGCTACTCGCAGTACTGTCTCTACCGTTCTCTCCGTGCGGTTGAGCTCTAAGGCTGAGCCGTCAATGGCGTTTTGATCAGCCTTGTCCATTCTTTGTTTTTTTCTGAGTTAAGGAAAGAGAGAATACTTTGCCTCTAATTATAGTAATGCAAGTGTTTGAAGTCATAATAGACAAAACAGTCGCTCAAGCATTCAATATAGTCATGTGATAATGACGTCAGCAATATCTGTTTTAGGTAACTGTCCTGTTTTGTTTGCTCTAATTTATCTGTCTTATAAAATATCGACTATTTTACCTAAATTTGGCAATACGTACCAGAAATTAAGAGAGTTTGATATTTGATTAGACTTTATAAAAAGTAGTAATGATAAGCATTTGATTAAATTATTTTGTCTCCACTGTAAATTGGGGCGTCTGCCGCCCATTGGCCAATGTCCAAATAGACCATTTGATTTTTGGGCACTAACTAGATGGGTTATAATGGACAATGGTCCGAAACAGGTGCGCCCAAATTATGTCCATGTCCATATGAATTTGTTCATGAACAGCCCAATATTATGTCTGTGTTTTTTTTACTAATAAAAACAAGTTTGTATTTTTTTAATAAAGATGTAGCCAAATAAACATTTATAAAAGTATGAAAATAATTAAATTTATGATAAGATTTTTATGTAAAATACAATTATCTCTAATTTTCCAAACACAATAAATTTTAAAAGAAACAAATTGTTCAAAAGATTAAAGAAACACAATCAGATCCATCTCCTCTATTGGACTAGCATCAACTTCTACACCATAGCCAACCAGCATAAGCTCCTCCACCAACCTGAGAAAGATAAACAAATTCTTAAAATCTTGGTTACGTGATCATGGACAAAGCTCATATACAATTTCTGATTTCATATGCAAAGTATGTACAAAGATCATACACAGATAATCAACATCAAAATGTTTCAATATTTACCTTGTTACTTAATTCTTACTATTTTCTCTTTCTCCCCAAGAGACTCAAACTCATCACCTAGAATCTGTAAAACAATGTAGTTAGAATTTACAACTCATCACTTACAATATGCAGATAAAAAAAACGTAATTCTTACTAATTTCTTGAAAATCACGAAACCAATTCGTTGAACAAATTAAAGCTTGAACATTTGTAGGCAAGAGACAAGAACACGCCTTCCTATGCTGAATGACGATTCAGATGCCACCGTTGTGATTAGAATACTAAGAACATCTAAAGCCATGTACGACAACTCTTTATAACGGCTTGAATTTTTTTTTCCAATACTCTATGATATTCATGTATCTAAATGAAATCATATCTAAGAAAGCATTTTCCAAATATGTGTCTAATGGTGATTTTCCATTACCACCAGTCTTTTGCTAAAAATAAGAATAAAGTCCGTGAGACATGATTAGTAAAACATCATAAAATCAGATTCTTATAAGAGAATAGAAAATAGAGTTTCACAAAGCAAGAAACTTGAACTATCAAGTAAGTCAGCAAACACAACGCATTTATGCTCCTAAAGTTATAGAAGCAGCAAATCAGCAAACCATGATCAGCAAATACAAACGCAAATCAGCAAACCATGACCAGAGACAAAACGCAAATCAGCAAACCATGATCAACAAACATAGACGCAAATCAGCAAACTATGACCAGAGACAAAATGCAAATCAGCAAACACAAATTGCAGACAAAAAAATCCAGAGACAGAACATAGATAAAAAGCGATACACTTACAAGGTATTCTGATGGCAGATCTTCTCATGAAATTCTTGGTTGTGAAGTGGTAATGTTGCTTGTGTTTTTCTTGTAAGTGGTAATGAATACGAAAGAAAAAAGTGACACTAACATTTCTACAAAGTGATGTTAGATTCTAACGAATAAAGTTCATTTTGTCTAACGAAAAGTTCAAAAGACAAAGAAACGAATAAAGTTGTTTTGGTTTGTTTGATTTTTTATCTAACAAATCAAATTCTACAACTTTCTAATACTATCTACAAGTAGCAGCTGACTGGTAATCAAACGAATTCGAGGCGTGCGACATATATTGAAATCTAAGTATACATATAATATATATATATCATTTGGAAGGTGTATATATTGCGTGTGTATGCATATCTGGAATCTAACATGGAGGAATAGAGAACAAAACAGAGCCAAGGTCAACTTGCCAGACACAAATCAACAGATTGTGTGAATGGTCATATCAACCGGTTGTGTTTAAACCGGCAAGTCATCCTTGGCTCAATTCCACTCTCTATACCTTCACGCAAGACCCTCTGATACAAGCCAAAGACTTCCATCATCGGCTTTCCATCTAGAGATGTGTTATATTATATACCTCTTCACTCTTGTGTTGTGGTTAAACATAGTTGAGATGTGTAGGTACTTATAGGCAGAAATGCGAAAAAAGTATGTAGTAGTGTTTTATTCTCGATTCCATTTCCATGTGCATGGTTGAGAATTTTGACCAAACCCTAATTCAATAACAGAATCCACAAGTTTGGATTGAAGAATAAAATCTAGAATATGTGCTAGCTGACCAAATTTTCCAAATTCCAATTCCCGATTTAATTCGTATAGTTGATATTCGCCCCACTATACTTTATGGCACAGAAATGTGTAATTAAGCAATATCGTGTAATACAATGAACTATATATATAAAGGAAATATATGTAGATGGTCGCAGAAATTAAAAGAGGAATTTCATTTTCTTTGTGGATAAGTGGCATATTTATGATTGTATGTATGCATAAATATAATAAAAACGTTAAAGCATTCAACAAGGTTTACAAGTTCTTGATGTAGAGTGTATGTTTACGTCGACAAGAGTTGAAGCTACAACAAAAAACTCTCTATGCACTTTGAGGGTTTCAGTTCACAGGAAGATTCCGAAATAAAGCCTTTTATATGTCAATGAGACGGTGGCGGGAAGCTTGAAGAGGCAAAATGGTCCCGTGCGACGCCGTATTGGAGCAGCTACCTTTCTCAGCCATAGAAAACAAAAAGGTGGTCCTTCAATTTTGTTAGGTTTCTGTGGTTTCTATAATAACACATCAAATTCAAATGCTATATATGGTACGAGTCGTACGACGTCTAACAGCTATGTTACCTGAATTGTCCCATCAGGCCATTAAATATGAGGTAGATTAGTAACTTAATTTGTAGCCTCTGTTTTCTGTTTAGTGTTTGGTAACATCTCCATAGATTTGAGGGCTGACTATGGTTTAACTTTTTTTTGGGGATTATTTCTTGACTAATGAATCGAACATAAAAAGTTTCATATATAATTTGGAAAAATGATTTCAAACATAATACGTTAACAGTTTCACAATGAAAATATGATGAACTCTAAAATATGACAAAACTAATTCTGTTTTGAGTTGCATGTTCATAAACCTTGCAGAATAATTCAAAAACACCATACTTTTGGATTCGAACAACAAAACCTAAATGCATACCCGTATATTCTGGCTTTTGAGTTAAGTCCAGAGACGGTAAGGACAAGGCAATATGTATGCACATCAATGATACATGAACGTATATGACTATATGTCCTCTTCAAGAAACTAATGCTAAAAGTTTGGCAAATCGTGTGCTGGCCAAACTCATTTTGCGACGATGTACGATGGTTCTCGCTAATTTCGCTTGGCTTTTCATTATAAATGGAAGAGCCCCCACACCTCCTTGAAAGCAACTTCATACTTATCAGTTGATTTTGAATACGTATTGGTGTGTTTGTAAATAATATAATACTCTGCTTTTGCGGCGTTTGTATGGTTCGAATTAGCTGTGAAACTTTTCTTGTTAAACCAACTTGTAGTAATTAATCCAATGATTTCGTCATCACTTAGACACATAGGTTCAAAATTAGCAATGGTTGTTTTCCAATATTACCGGATAATTAAGCTTTTATTGAAAGATCATATAATAACATTAAAATAAAATTAGGTTGGATTTCGTCTAATGACGAGAGAGAGAGAGAGCGTAAGTACGATTCCACATATGTAATTGTCCTATGTAGTCAGATGCAAGTACTTCACAATCACATGCACTTCTCATTCTCTCTATAAATTCACTTGACAGCACCAAAATTCTTTCACAGCTATCTTCTCTTGCAATCTCTCACTTCTCTTCCATGCCCAACGAAAAAGCTTTCTCCTCCCAAAACTCTCTTTTCGATTCGAAAGATCTCAATCTCAATCACAAATGGAAACAGTCAAGACCTCCAGGTTCATCACCGAGGTGGCTCCGGCTAAGTTGATATCGGCGACGAGAGAACCATTCAAGAACATGTTGACCACGATTTTAGAGGAAGACTTCGACTTTGAAGAATTGGTAAGAGCCACTGCTGAGAGACTTTCTTCTTCTTGTCCAGGCTCCTCTTCGTGGTCTCTTGGCCACTACACCAAGACCAACAGGCTCTCTTCCTCTTGAGCATTACATTGCGATCCCTTCCTTTTCCAAAATGCATTTTTTTTTTCTCTTTTACAATAAAAGGAAGAGCAACGAAATAATACGTTTCTTGGCTCAATCATGTATTCTCTTCAGCGTCAAAGTTGTTGGCTTGATTTTTCGGTGTTGAATCATTTCAGCAATCACTCCCAATTATCACAGCTGAATCTGATTAAACATTCTTGATACACTTTGTGGATCGAGATTTTAATGTTCTACCAAACCGATCCCGCTTATTTTGCTGGTCAGAAGTGAAACCACGTTAATGTTAATATTTAGAGAGAAAAAAGTTAACGCTTTGACATTAATATCCACAGGGAAATAAAATCAGAAGCTTCATATTATACAGAACTAGGTTTGAAGTCCCCACGCAAGCGTGGGGTTGTTTGCGATAGTTTTTCTGTTTAATTTTATTTATACTCGTTGATTTGAATTATGATGGTTTTGTGTTAACTTTCATGTTTTTGTTATGTTTTGAGTTAACTCAACCACTAACACTAAAAATATGAATAATTTGTTTTTTATTTTAATTTATTAGGATATTAACACTCTGCTTTATCTCGAGTTTTCTATTTCTAAAATTTTATCATGTTATAAATATTATGTTTGTTTACTTTTTTTTTTTACTTCTATTAGACTGTAAACATGTATATGTATTTGATTGAAGGTTAAAATTTATAAATATGTATATGCATTTGACTGAAGGTTAAAATTTGTAAACATATTCTTGTTTTTCACTACAATTAAATTTACATATAAAACTCCATTTCTATTTGTTTAGAAAAACAAACTCTAACTCTAATTTTTCATTAGCTTTCTATTATCTTAATTAATTTATATTCAACTTTTTAACTTGTAAACACATTATAACATTTTTAAATATGATAAATCCTTTGAATAAAAAGGTAAATATATACTATTTGAAGTTAAATATTTCTTTACTCCATCTCTATTTTATATTCCAACTTTTTGATAACTTTTAACATCAAATTATCACATACTTTCTATTAATTAATTATTTATTTGTATATTTTTATTAAATATGAATAAATGTAAAGAAATATGAATAGTCATATATTTAATAAATATTTTAAATAAAATCGGTAAATCGATAAATAAAAAAAGCAGGAGTAGGCAAGTCCAGTTATATTTGGAGCTAGTACAATTTCACAAAGCACTATAATGACTGATTTTCATCTTAAAGAACTCGGAAACATCAAAATTCATACTGTTTAGCTGCCTATAACGTGATCAAACAGGATATAAAATTGTAGCACAATATCCAACAATGTTTGTCTGGAATAATACTAATTCACCCCCTGCTTGAGTTTATAACTTGATCAGAGTTAATTGCTGAAGCATCTCCGCCCTTGAGGTTGATGGTCCTTCTTGAAGTGCCATGATGTATTGGGAATTAGCTCTTGGTAACCCTCTATCTTCTCCACAGGAAACTCACTTGTTTGCAGCTTTGCAATATCACAAGAGCCCACTCTCATACCAATTGTAAGTGCATGGGGGGAACTGACACAGACTGAATGATACAAAAAGTAGTACGAGCAGAAATAGTAGTAAAGACACATAGAGTTTGTTAACAGGGTTCGTTTCCTACTGTTGGAACTCATTTTTGATAATATATTTATATGTCAAAAATGAAGTTGGTTTGAATGAGAAATGGAGGTCCAAGTGGGTTGCTTGTATAGCATAAAATGTAACATTATGAAATGTCCCATATTGGAAGTATGAGGTGAAATCCTCTTGTATTTAAAGTGGAGAAAAGAGATATTCGGGCTGAACTTGTTTCCGGGCCTCGGGATTTGGCAATCGGGCCAACAGTCTATAAGATTAATCTTTTGACCAAGTATTCTTTTTGATTAAGTCAACAAAGAAAATATCTCTTTTAATTAATTAATTTGTTTCAATAATTAATTTGTTTCAAGTGACAATTAAGTGCATAGTCAATACTATTAATTTTGTAACTTAAAACTTAAAGTCATATTGAAAACATTATTGTGAGAATGAATTCTCAATCTCCCTTTATGGCCATATACGTTGGCATGAGGCTATATAAGCCATGCTTCCTTTTCTTGTTAACATGTGGTTAAACACATGATCAAACACTAAATAACAACAATCCTTCATATCTCTTATTTTGTTTTGGTTTTCTTATGAGAGTACATCACATAAAACATGGTTCGCAAGCTTATGATTTGAGTGATGCAAACATAAGAAGTGTGCAGTTTTATCTGGGATTCGGAACGCCATGCAACCGTCACACTACGGGGCGTTTACAGAATTAAGGAAAGAGATCATATCTCGACTCTGCAAATCCGGTTTTGTTTTCCTTAATTCTTGTTTATTTTGTATCATTTTAATATTGAGTTATATTAATTTGTTGATATTTACACTTTACATTAATCAGTCGCCCATTGTAGAAATTGCATTCCTACAATCTTAATTCTGTAAATTTTCGTTTTTGCTTTTTGCACTAACGAAAACTGATTTTTGTGAAGTGTTTTTGTTATGAAAACAGGAACAAGAAATTCTGGATTAATTGGATTAATATTCCAGTTTTCTGCAAATTTATCTAATATTTTTTTTGCAGATTATCAGAATTTTATGGAATTAATTTTCTGGTGTTTCAGAAATTAATTTGATGATTTTTGCAGGTTATCAAAGGAAGAATATAGGGTTAATTCTTCTAATTTTTTGCAGTTTATTTTAATTATTTTGCATAATTTTTCAGAATATTTTATGTGATTATATCTGAAAAATCAACTTGTTATGCATTAATAATTCTTATATTTGTTAAGATTGATATTAACAGGTTTTCATGGAAGAAAGGTGTTCATAAAAGAAGAACTAAGTTCTGAAAATTGGATTAATTTTCTGATTATTTGTTCTGATTATTCTGCAGGAATTTTGGAGAATTTATTTTAATTATTTTCTGAAATTTATTCAGTTTAATAATATTTGTTACAATATATCTAATTGATATTTTTGCAGCTCAAGAAAAAATGTGTGCGATGTTTATCATGTGTTCACATGTGCATATTTTTTTTATTATCTTGCATCTATCATTTGTTTGGTCAAAGAGAAAGATGTTGGCTTTGATTTGATTATAACTGCTTGATTACGTTGCAGCTTATTTGATTTTTGTTGTAGTTTTTTTTTTTTTTAATTTTGACGTTGGTATTAAAGTTGCAAAAGGAATTGAACCTGAATATTTATTTGGTTGTATTATTTGGTCCATGCATTTGGTCATAATTGTTGATGCTGCATTGAATTGTATATTGCATCTCGCATTCAAGTATTAATTTCTGAATTGATTAATTCTGATATTTGAATTTAATTAGTTTATGCATCTTAGTTTTTTTTTGGTCGGATTTTATGCATCTTAGTTTACTGGCATAAATTGAATTAAATTGGTATTTGGCATTAAATTGAATTGTTAATTTGGAATTTATTAATTCTGGAATTTTGATTTAATTATTTGTTGCAATTTTCTGAAGTGTTTAAATTGCTTAATATGTCTTGATATATTTTTAATATTTTTGGTATGATGATTCAGGTTTGGATGTGTGCAAATTGAATCAAAAAGTGTTACCAAAAATTAGAACATTTATAAAAATGTTTCTAAAGTGAAAAATCAAATGAGTTGATACCCCATGTTGGGAATGATCTACCATTTATGATTTTGTCTCACACCATTAATGGTTGAAGGGTTATTGGTAACAAGTTTAGTGAGTTGACATACCAAATTTATTTTGGTAATGGTCTTCCACTTGTGATTGTACCAAGTTATGATATTTATCATATTGTCATATTAGTGCTTAGTGTTGTAAACACAAGACTAATATTAGACAAATTCTGTGAAAAGGAGTTTAAAATTGGTTACAAAAGATATTGATATTTCTAGTCATTGTTTAAACTTAAAATGTGAAAATGCAAAATATTTTTGAGTTATCTCAAGAAATGTGGGGGAAAAGCATTACATACCACATAAAATTATTGACAAAATGTCATATGCGTTTTGAAAGGTAAAGTACATTTGTACAAATACCTAAAAATGTGGGGTGCATAGCAAAAGTTGCAATGCCACTACCTAAAATTGTTAAACAATTGATCTCAAATGGAATAATCTTAATAGATTATGTCTACTTGAATGACAACCTAGGATCCAATTAAAGGTGTGTCATGAGATCAAATTGTAAAATCATCAAGAGGAATGGGTTTAAAGCCTATGACTTAAGAGGATGTTTGATGGTAACCCTACCTAACTGATTGGAGATCCCATGAAATAGGTTCAAGGGGAAAACTAAGTCAAACTGAATCAACTAGCACTGAGAGACTCATGTCTCTACCCAGTTCCTAGGATGATGAACAGTGCTACCTGTAAGGTGTAGAGGATAAGCTTTTGCTTTTAATGATTTGGGTCCATAACTTTGAAATATACATGGAGTAATGCAGGATACTCCTTTAAACAAAGTTAATGGCGAATCACCTTGTGAGTGTGAAATGGGGCCGTTTCTAGGAGAATAAATGAAAGGCTATATTCTCCAAGTTCACTCATGATTATCCAGCAAGTTCACGGCCAAAATGAACACAATAGAGAACCTGATTCTGTGAGAGAATGAAGCTGTGTTATAGCTATTGTCTCGGTTTACATCAAAGCCCGAGAGGTTCAAGACATCATGTTCACCTCTTGGTCGAGTAAATCCGATAGCTTATGACAATGATTTGGTTCAAGGCTGAAAAATTGCTACCAACTCATATACAGTGGATTTTTCGCTTGTACTCTCAAAAGTCGTTTTTTGAGTCTTTTGAGTCTTGTCTAGAGAGTCAAGTCTAGAGTTGAGTCGTCCAGTGTCTAGAGTCATTTCTATTCATGTGGGGGATTGTTGGAACTCATTTTTGATAATATATTTATATGTCAAAAATGAAGTTGGTTTGAATGAGAAATGGAGGTCCAAGTGGGTTGCTTGTATAGCATAAAATGTAACATTATGAAATGTCCCATATTGGAAGTATGAGGTGAAATCCTCTTGTATTTAAAGTGGAGAAAAGAGATATCCGGGCTGAACTTGTTTCCGGGCCTCGGGATTTGGCAATCGGGCCAACAGTCTATAAGATTAATCTTTTGACCAAGTATTTTTTTGATTAAGTCAACAAAGAAAATATCTCTTTTAATTAATTTGTTTCAATAATTAATTTGTAAGTGACAATTAAGTACATAGTCAATATATTGATTTTGTAACTTAAAACTTAAAGTCATATTGAAAACATTATTGTGAGAATGAATTCTCAATCTCCCTTTATGGCCATATACGTTGGCATGAGGCTATATAAGTCATGCTTCATTTTCTTGTTAACATGTGGTTAAACACATGATCAAACACTAAGCAACAACAATCCTCCATATCTCTTCTTTTGTTTTGTTTTCTTATGAGAGTACATCACATAAAACATGGTTCGCAAGCTTATGATTTGAGTGATGCAAACATAAGAAGTGTGCAGTTTTATCCTGGGATTCGGAACGCCATGCAACCGTCACACTACGGGGCGTTTACAGAATTAAGGAAAGAGATCATATCTCGACTCTGCAAATCCGGTTTTGTTTTCCTTAATTCTTGTTTATTTTGTATCATTTTAATATTGAGTTATATTAATTTGTTCATATTTACACTTTACATTAATCAGTCGCCCATTGTAGAAATTGCATTCCTACAATCTTAATTCTGTAAATTTTCGTTGTTGCTTTTTGCACTAACGAAAACTGATTTTTGTGAAGTGTTTAGGGTTTAGTCTAAACACTAAATACCCTTAACCCTTTGTTTGGTCTTCCTACTAGAACCCCAAAACCTTATGCTAAGGCATCTTCGAATGTAATGGGTTGAGCACATCCAATGTTCTCCACGTCCTATTTATCCACAAAAGGTACGCTTTGAAACCCTTAAAGATTTCTCCCTTGGTGATCACTTCAAATCTCCAAGAGAATATTTATTTCCTTATTTTTCTCTAGGAAAAGGAAATATTCTTAGTTACTTGATAGCTTCGAATCTCTTCGTCCAACTTAGCTCTTGACTCTTCTAGAATCTTCTAGACTCGCCTCCTCAGCTACAAGCATATGTCCAGCCCATCAGATCGATTCCTTAAGCCCATCTGCTGAACACGACTCTCTGAACTACTTCTTGACTGATACATGAAGTCCTTCAGTAAACTGCATCTTCACCTGTAATGACATGTTCTAAAACTCGGTCAGCACTGCATCAACAATGGACACTAAGACAAAGAGGGAATACTATTGGAAGACTCGTGAATGTACACCCTTATTCAGGCCAAAAGTATTTCTTAAGGATCTTGGTAAATCATCGGAGGGGAGTCACAAGTTATGAGATGATCCGTACAGTGGGAGATGTAACTTACAAAACCTATAAACAAGCATGCGTTGCTATGGGTTTGCTTGATGGGGAAAAAGAGTGGCATAAGACAATGGAAGAAACGTCGCATTGGGCAACCGCGACACAGCTAAGAGATATGTTTGTCACATTTTTGGTGTTTTGCGAGGTTACCCAGCCAGGGAATTTATGGAATAGGTTTTGGCCTGACATGGGAGAGGATATGCCTTTCAAAATGCGGAGAAAGTTCGGCTTCAGTGGGTATAACTTAACGGAGAAAGAAATTCAGCAATACACTTTGCTGGAAATACAGAAGCTACTGACTGAAACGGATAAATCACTTGCTGATTACACCGACCTCCCGCTGCTTGAAAGAAATATAATGAACGAGTTTAAGAACTCATTGCTGAGGGACGAGATGAGGTACAACCCGGATGAGGAAGAAGAGAAGCATAGATCAATGTTTGAGAGATTGAATTTGGAGCAGGTAGAGGTTTATAAGTCAGTGATGACCTCTGTGAAGAAGGAAGAAGGGAAGGTTTTTTTTTTTTGTATGGTCCAGGTGGAACGGGGAAAACATTTGTGTACAACACACTTATTGTGTGACTGAGATCAGAAGGAAAAATTGTTCTACCTGTGGCTACTTCGGGAATAGTTGCAACATTATTACCAGAAGGAAGGACAGCTCATTCCCGATTCAAGATCCCAATTGATCTGCACGAGCATTCTATGTGTAACATAAAACCAAAAACGATCCTAGCTGAACTGATAGAGAACACGTCTTTGATTATATGGGATGAAGCTTCAATGGCACACCGTCATACTTTTGAAGCTTTAGACAGGACATTGAGAGATATTAAGAGGAGTGTTGACCCGTTGGCAACAGAGAAGACGTTTGGTGGAATTACAATGTTGCTTGGTGGTGATTTTAGGCAAATATTACCAGTCATAGCACGAGGGAGTAGGCAAGACACTGTCATGGCATCAATCAACAGATCTTATCTTTGGGACAGAAGAAATGTATGCTTGCTAAAGAAGAACATGAGACTGAATGCAGATGAAATCTCATTTTCAAAGTGGATTTTAGAAGTTGGTGATGGTGTTGCTAAGAGGGTATCGAGGCATTGGGAGGATAGCTTAGATACAGATATTGTTGAAGTTGAGAATGAGTTGTTATTACAGAGTACATCCGATAGTTTGGAGGATGTTTTTCGATCTACATATGTAGATTTTGAGAGGTTTTACAGAGAGAAAAACTACCTCCGCGAACGAGCAATATTAACCCCAAGAAATGATACCATGGATGAGGTTAACGAGTTCATTCTATCAAAGGGTCCTGGAGAAATGAAAGAATATTTCAGCTCAGACACCCTCAGCGATGATGACTGATATACACATATATTAACATACATTAGCATACATTTACATGCATATTTCCATCCTACTAGGCCTCATTCTCATACATTTACACCACATATCTCTATCTATTCACTTGCATCATCATTAGGACTTGCATTGCATGTACATTGCATTTTGAGTCTGAATCAGGTGTTAATGGAGCTTTGGAGCCATTTGGGAGAAGGAGTGTCGGAGACGTCAAGACGAAGAGCAACCAGGATGCGAACCAGGATCAGAAACCCGTTTGTCGCCTTACAAGCTTTCCTTGACCAAGAAGAGAGTTGACCATGCCTTAATGAAACGCGGCGTTCTGGAGCTTAAATCTTGGGGAAGGAAAGAAGAAGGGTTTTAGAAGTCTCCACTATATAAACTAAAAAGTCCTAAGTTTTTAGGCATCTTGTAATTTGTCTTTCATTTTGCCACCAAGAAATACTCTAGTTCGAGATCTAAGACTTTGTAAGCTTTGGTCTCTTTAATCAAATCACGTACTTGTTTATTTGCATTACTGTTTCCATCTCATTTTACTTGTGAAACAACCTTCCTCTTATGAGAATCGGGTTGTCAAACAGGATGAGTGAGTAGTCTTTAGATCGTTTTAGGTGATTCGGTTTTGAGAGCTTTAAAGGAGAGTTTGGGCTTAAAGCTAGAACCTTTAGAGTTTCTCCTTGCTTAGTGCCCTTAAGGCTGAGTCATTTCTGATCATCTTGGCTCAGATCTCAAGCTCTCAACACATCAAAAGTGTGTTTGACGAGCTAGATAATCTAAGACAAGGGATCCGCTTTTCTAGCTCGCGATAGCGATTTGTTTAGAAAGCTTTTTGGTGATGGGATCTGCGTTTAAAGCTTGCTTGTGTGTAAGCTCACTGACGATAGTCAGCTCTTGAGTTTACCTTGCATTCGAGCTCATTCACGATAGTGATAAGCTCTTGCTTTCGTTTTCCTTAGCCTAGAAACTCGGTTTTATCCTTTAAGTCTTAAAGCTTCTTCCTTTAGCTCGATTTTCATCCGAAATCACCTAAAGCCATCGCCTTTCTTCTTTTCCTTGTTAAAGTTCAAGTCTTTTAGCTCAAAGTCGATTTCTTTCCTCTTTGAATCTTGATTTGGACCGTTATTTCACTGTTCTAAGTTTGTATTTTTACTGTTTAACGTTCGGATTTCATAAAAACCAAATCTTGTTCTTGGCTTGAAGTTTTCTTGTTCAATCTCTAGAACCCAATCTTCTCTGAGATTTGGATTGATACCTTAAACTATACTGCAATGATATGAGCAGAGATTTGAGGGTTTGGATCTATCAAAAATCTTGTTTTCAATGACATAGACGAGGAAGAGGTTAACAATTTCTATACACCAGAGTACTTGAATAATCTGAAATGCTCTGGAATGCCAAACCATATACTCAGATTAAAGCTAAACACACCCATATTGATGATGAGGAACATCAACTAAAAAGAGGGATTGTGCAATGGAACAAGGCTATTGGTGTCAAGATTGGGAGAAAGGGTGATTGAGGCTGAAATCATTACCGGGGTGAAAGTTGGGAAGAAAATACTTATCCCCAGAATCATCTTCAACACGTCAGACACGGATAGCCCTTACAAGTTGAGAAGGCGTCAGTTTCCTGTCTGTGTTTGTTATGCTATGACAATAAACAAAAGTCAAGGTCAAACCTTGGAGAAGGTGGGTTTATATCTTCCAAGTTCAGTATTCACTCATGGACAGTTGTATGTAGCATTGTCAAGAGTTTTCATACCTAATACTAATATTTATCAATTTATGTTTAGAGTCGTTTGATAACTAAAAGAACTTAAATATGACCTAACGTAACTATACATTAGACATAGATGTAGACTAATTTTTGGAGGAGCTACAATCCACATATAAACCATTTCTCTATGTATTCAAATAGAATAGCAAGGGGCAATATTCATTTGGCCGAATGAAAGAAATCTATTGAACTATTTTTTGTTTGTTCCCTTCTCCCCGTTTTTAATCTGATGGCTGAATAAATCTACATAACTAATAAGGTTTGGACACTTTTCAACCTTCGACACGTGGCACTTTTATTTTTTATTTTTTTTTTTTCGCCTAACACTAAAACGACGTCGTTTTGGGCTTTATTTTTTTTATTTTTTTTTCGTCTTACACCAAAACGATATCGTTTTTTATACCCTCTGAGTGCCATTCAAAACGACGTTGTTTCTGCCTGCCATTTAAAAAAAAATATTATATTGAAAATTAATTTAACAAAGGCGAGCACCCTTTGATTTTAGGTTTTATAGAATTTATTTACACTTTTACAGACCATAAAAAAAAATATTAAACTTTCGTATCTTCTTCTTCTTCAATCGTTTCAGTTCGCACCCACAACTTTAATCGATTCAGCTCAGCGTAACCGATCCCCACATACCCGTTCTCATCTCCAAATCAGTCACCACCCGGTTTCTATCATCTCGAAATCAGTCAAACTCTCTCCTCACCAACAAAGCTGTGTCGCTCCGCCAACCGTTGCAATGGTTCAAGGTCATCCCTTTCCTCATCAGTCTGTGTTCTAAAACAGATTGGATTAGAACATCCGTCCTTGTGATTCTTCACTCCGCTTGATCTGGAGTAGAAAAGCCTTTGAGAGAGGAGTACGACGATCGATAGAGACGATGAAGATCTTCCACGTTCCTTGTCTACAAGATAACTACTCCTATCTGTGAGTGATTCGTTTCGTATATTTCCTCATTCAGTTTGTTACTTCTTTTCTGAACCGAGTCATCATCAATTTTGGGATTCTTTCACCTCTCGGCAAAACACAGGATAATCGATGAGAGAACCGGAGACGCGGCGGTTGTGGATCCAGTTGATCCGGAGAAGGTGATACTGTCAGCTGAGCAGAACCTCTTTAATACTACTTTTTTAGAATACTTGTCGGCGCAGAACCTTGCATGCTTTCTGATTCAAAATACTTTTTTAACATTGAAACATTAGACCACGTCATCTGATCCCAATATCTTCAGAAACCACAGAGACCTCTGCGTGACAAAAATGGCGCCCCGAGGAAGAAAAAGGGTAAGCTTTACTGTTTCCTAGAAGTTCGTACATATCACTGGAGTTGTATGAGTAATTTAAAGTGGATTTGGTCTTAGGAGAGTTGTAAATGCTCCCGAATTCGTAGCTAGGGTTCTGTTCTTCCTGGATTTGTCTCTTTCTTTGAGCTGGTTTCTCAGTGAGAAGAAATAGAAGAAGGAATCAGCCTGAGGGGATTTTGAATTATGAAATTCTTCTATGATTGCGCTCTTGTCTAAGGTCTTTAATGGATACTTTTCTTCACCAATGTTGCAGAAAGCTGGATAGATAAGAGAGGGTGCAGCGCGAGACAACATGATAGAGTATGGTTTTGATGAGCGTGTAATCAATGAGAGTATCAAGGGATTGGTTAAGGTGTGTTTCTCGGTTTTAAAGTTCGTGTGAACGAACTCTGGAATCCGAAAATAAATCACAGTACAAAGATGATACATTGCAGCCGATGACAAAGACAGAAAGACTGAGGCAGAGACTTCGTAGGCGGATCCGAGTAGGATTTGGAGTCAAATCAGAAAGTTCCAACAAGCTTGATGAATATCGTTAACGATATGTGCCTTGGAGATCACTAGAAACGAAAAGGATGTGCAGCTTCCTCTCAAATTTGGTTAAGGTCTGTGGTCTAAACTTTGCTTAACATATTCTTATTAGATAACACTCATTTTGGTTTAAGGTCAACCTCAACAATGCTAGGACCGGCATTTTTTTGCTGGTAATGTTTTTCTTTAATAGGCTTTCCTCTATTTTCCGACATGAAATCTGCCATAGCCTGAAATATTCAAAACAAAGAAGAAAATCAGGAAGGAAGGCATAGTACTAAGAGCGTGAATTACTGAACAGAGGTGTAGATTGTCAGGAATTGAGTTGTCTTTCACCGCTAACTGAAAGAAGAAAAAAACATGCTACATCTTTGTCATAATATTGGAGTTCTCATAAATTAGCATCTCCTTAGGATTCATGAATTGACTACTCTTAATAAATTTTTCATATTTCTTATATCCCTCATTCACTCTAACACTTTTACTTCGTTTGTAATATATGACTTTCCAAGGTTTTTGGTGTCTTTGGTTGGAGCTAGAAGATGGATGCTTCTTATTGCTTAGCCTTGCGAAAATGTAAGCACAAGTAACTTTATATCCCTAGCTTCGTACTACTAGGAAACATTTTGACACGTCGAGGCATTGCTGTAACTTCTTAAGCAATAGAAGCTGCTATGAAGAATCAAAGCTTACTTCAAATTGTTTGCCCATGGATTATCACGGAGGTGCAGGTTGCTGAAGTAAATCTGGATATCCATCCATACTTGATATACTTCATATGTATTGAGTTGTGTATTATTTTGCCTCAGTTCATGTCTTTGAACATTACTAGACCTTCAACGAGGATGGTTTTATTTAATCTTCTCTTCATGCTTAGATGTGTTATAAAACACTTGCTATGTTTTTAGCTGTATTGTTGTAACAGCTCAAGTTTCTTCCAGTTGAAAAATTACAAGGAAAAAACTAAATAATTGACTTTGTCATATTCAATCAGAAGATATTCATATTCAAGATTTATGTTCAAGGAAAGACCAACCAAGGAGCGACTGCCATGTATTTAGTTTGAAGTTAGGTTTGATGAAAAGGAATCATTCACTTAAACAAAATTTTAAAATACGTTTATATTATAGTAGTAGTATGATACATACGCATAAGAAGAGATTAGATTACTTGACTACTAAAACAAACAGAAGAGTGATGACAAGTCATTGCCTTTGTTCTTTATTCACTGCCTCCGGCTAAGTGTAATGACAAACCGAAAAGGAGAAAAATAATGAGAAAAACATAAACAGCATTTATCGGTGCACCATTACTAAAGTTTCAAAACTAATGGTTAACAAATCTATCATAATACATACAAAAATCAAGAAAACAAACAAGTAAAAAT